GCATCGGCGTCAATGGCTTGGAGAAAATCGGGCTCCGCATCGTACCGCATCGCCGATGCATCGGCCATGCGGCGCGATCCTCCGACCCCTATCTACTCGGACCCACTCTGGGAGGCCTGGACTCCTCCTCCTCCCCCTCCTCCTCCTCCTCCTCCTCCTCCTCCTCTCCTCCTCCCCTCCTCCTCCTCCTCCTCCTCCTCCTCCTCTCCCCCTCCCCCTCCTCCTCCTCCTCCTCCTTCTCCTCCTCCTCTCCTCCTCCTCCTCCTCCTCCTCCTCCTCCGCTCCTCCTCCTCCTCCTCCTCCCACCTCCTCCTCCTCTCCCTCCCTCCCCCCCCTCCCTCCTCCCTCCCTCCCTCCTCCTCCTCCTCCGTCGCCTTCCCAGCAAGGGGGAGGCTGCCAGTTGGGCTCCGTGCCCCCCTCGGGGGCGAGGGGCGGGCGCTTCCATTTGGCCCGCGGGCGCGGTTGCATCCCGGCCGCCATCCCAGGCGAGCGGCCCAGGAGCCGCTCCCCCGCCTGGCATCGGCGGGCGCGCCGTTCGAGAGCCGCCGCGCGCCGCGAGCTCGAGCTCGACGCTCGACGCGGCGGTTGCTGCGGAGGCACCACGGCGAGCACTTGGCAGTCAGGCGCGCCATGGGTGCGGACGCTGCAGGCGCGGGCGAACCACCCGAGGCCCCAGCGCCCTGGCGCCAATGCGAGGCTTCAGGAGCACCATGGGCGCGCAAAGCAACCACAGCTTGTGGCCTCAAGCACGACTTCGCGACGAGGTGGACCTGCTTCGTGCCGCAAAGACAAAGGCGGTCGTCGCTGCAGCAACAGGCCTCCATCGCGTGATGCTCGCGATCGCAGTGCTCGTGCTGACCGTGACGGTGCTGGCGACAGGGGGTCTGCAACCACCGCAACCAGCGTCGCCGAAGTGGTGCTCTGCAGGCGCGCGGTGCAATCCCGCCTACGCTGCGACGACAACCACGAGCTCATGCGCATGGCCTCGAGGAGCTCAACAGTGCAAAGCACAAGGAGCGTGAGCCTAAGGCTCCAGAGGACATCCTGCGCTGCTCGACCGACAGACTGGCCTCCAGACAGATCGAGCAGGAGAAGATGGCCCAGCAGGTGGGCGATCTGGAGCAGCATTGGTGGAGGCCACATCCAAGCTCGAAAACGTTGGCAAGGAGATCGCGACGCTCAACGCGGAGGCGGCCAGGGAGAAGGCGGCCATGGCGCAAGCTGCTCCAAACGCCGTCACCGCCCAAAGCCTGCAGTCCTTGGCAGCACCCGCGCGGGGGCTGCAGCACAGCATCCCAACGCTCAGCAGCCGGCGCAAGGAGGCCAGTCGAGGGACGTCTTCGGAGGCCAGCTGCTCGAGGCCCTGGTGGCCACCATGCAGCACCCTGGACCCACGTTTGGAAAAGGCTACGGCAGTAGCCAAAGGCATTGGCCAAGGCGACGGACACCGTTCGACAGCAAGCATCCCGAACACACTCAGCACACGTATCCGCACAACCAGCTGGCCTCCCTGGAGGAGCGGGGGTCCCAGCGCCAGGCGCTCCAGGAGACGGGCCAAAACCAACGGAAACGAACTCCCCACTGGCGTGTGGGCACTTTGGCCAGTAGGAGAAGGGCTCCGAGAAGGGGCTCGCAGGCACACGATGGGCGTGATTCCCTTCAATGGGTTTCGCTGGGGTACGCTGCAGCAGATCTTGTTTGAAGGTGTAGGGGACGCTCAGATTGTGTGCGCACGAAAGCTTCAACTGGATGGTGAAGCAATGGATCGCGCACAAAAGCGGGCTGCGCGTCATGGCTGGCAACTGCTCATATCCACCTGTCGCAGATTGCGATCAAAGGTGGCATCGGCTGTCGTCGAAGTTTTCGTGAAGGCGCACATCTCCGTCACCCTGCTCGCTGGCTGCAAAACTGCAAGGTGATGGGCAGTTCGACATATCGCTATTCAGGTTGATGGCCAGTCATGTCCCTACTGGACATATCTGGGGGCTTTATCATTGGCTTGGTGTGCATGAAATCGGTCGGCTCAAACGACTACCTGCGCATGAATTACGACAGACTCACGAGGCTGGCCGCCAGCATGCACCACTTCGCGGTACCTGTCATTTTCGGTGGAGACCGAAACGCGCCGCCAGAAGACCTGAACACGATCGGCATCACGGATATCACGACGGCTGCCGTCGTCCGTCCAAGGCGCTGCGAGGGGACAGGCAGAAGTGCGAAGGGGCGCTACAGCATGATCGACTACTGGATGGTCTCGGAAGACGCGATGACGACGACGACGACGACGGCGGCGGCGGCGACGACGCCGGCGACGATGCCACGCCCCAGGATACGAGCGAGAGCGAGGTCGCGCGGAACAGGTGCGAGAGCTTATTCAGGGTGTCCAACGATAATACTTGTTTAGGTCGTCAAGGCATGCGAGCGGCCTCGCATCCTCGAGTCATGGGCGCCACGCCCGCACCACCCTGTTCGCTTCGACCTGTCGGCACGGCCGCGGCGT